ATTAACCTCTGTCTCTCTTCCACAGCATGTCTTTATCCTGTCTTCCTTCTCTCACCCCAACCGGTCGCAGCAGCTGGCCCCGCCCCTCCCTGAGCCTGGTTCTGCTGGAGGTTTCTTCCTGTTAAAAGGGAGTTTTTCCTTCCCAGTGTCATCAAAGTGCTGCTCATAGGGGGTCATATGATTGTTGGGTTTTTCTCTGTATGATATATACATATTATATATGTACAATATAAAGCGCCTTGAGGCGACTTTTGTTGTGATTTGGTGCTATATAAATAAAATTGAATTGAATTGAATTAATTTATACCATGGATTACTCCAGTGGTTCCCACACTTTTTGTACTAGGCCCCCGTGTGTTTTACAAGAAAACGATTAAAAAAATACAAGTGAACTGCAATAAATTACAGGTAGTAATAAAATAAACTACTAACTCTTTTACGCTATGTCCACACCTACATGGGTATTTTTGAAAATGCAGCTGTTTCATCCACACTCAAACTGTCATGGCATTTTGAGTTTCTTATGTTTTGGTTTGATTTTGTATTATGGGTTATTCTTTATCTCTGTCTTGTTGATTATTATTATTTATAGTCTGTGGTTCTTGTGCCCTCGTGTTTAGTATTGCTTTAGTCTTGTGTTTAGTCTGCGTCTTTGTGAACTGTTTCCTGTATTGTTTACATGAGATGAATTACAGAATGGCAGATAGAGACAAAATACAGTTAATCTGACTAAGTTTTACACGCTTACATACACACACGCAGTTACTGTCCCTATATTTAGAAAGGCAGAGGCGTCACGGTGTGATTATTTTACGTGCAGTTGTTTTTTCCTGTGTAATAATGTTCAACGTCTTGATGCATCTCAATCATCCAGGAAAGTAAGTCTCCAAAAGTTGATTCTGTTCATCTGGACGTAGAGTTTTGTGGGAGAAATGTTTCGTCATCATCCAAGTGGCTTCTTCAGTCTCAGCTGACTGCAGGTTTCCCCAATTCTTATAAACAGTACATTTGCATCATGACTGAAACCAGCCCACTGAAGGAACAATGGGCTGGGAGGTCAGTTCCTTAATCATAAGTATGCAAATTCTCTCAAAGACCGCTAAGGCCGGAAGTGCGAGGCTTGTGAAATGGGACGGTCTAGCCTCTGTTGCGCTGCCAAGGTTGCTTGGCAACCATGATACTAACAGCTGGAAACGTGTCATACAGCTGTGTTTGACAGAAATGAAGGAGAAAATCTTTTGTTCATTTGTTTGTTTCTACATGAGCTTTGATCATTCTCTGTAAGATTAAGCTCAGCTATTGGACGGCGTATATTTTAAAGGCTTTAAAACCAAGTTAGTACAAACGTCACTAATGTCACATGACTTTGCCGACATGTGGCCAACAGTAATGTTCTTCGTTATTAAACATTTGCACATAAATAAGTGACGTAATATTCAGCACTTAGTTTACTAAGTTACTCTTCGGGCGCCCCTCATCCGCCGTTTTTTTTCAGCAAAATTATCCACACCCACCGCCGCGCTATGCATTCTGGGATACGTTGGGCTACGAAGTCTACACTGCCACAGCCTTAAAATTCAGGGAAATGAAGGACGCATTTGAGGGCCGCATTTCGAGCAGCCTTCGAATTGGGACAGCCGTCGCTGTGACGTAATCGGCCTTAAAATGCGGCCTTTAAGGCTGCAGACCCTGAATTGGGATACAGCCTATGTGTGTGTGCGTGGTTGTGCTCCGGGCTACAGGCACGTCAGGCCTGTGGATGACTGGCCACGCCCAAGGAGGATGTCACACACCTGCAGCGGATTAGCATCGGCGGAGGGTATTTGCGGAGAAAGTATTTACGGCTCTCAGTGTTTTGTTTTGCGTGGAAACCAGGTCCAAGTGGCTCTTTGGGTGTTGCTGACCCCTGTCCCAGCCCATTTTTCCTTCAGTGGGCTGGCTTCAGCCATTATGCAAATGTACTGTTTATAAGATTGGAAACCTGCAGTCAGCTGAGACTGAAGAAGTCACTTGGATGAGTGACGAAATGTTTCTCCCACAAAACGCTACGTCCAGATGAACAATAAATTTTGGAGAATAATGTTCAACATTGCTGTCAATACATTTTTCAAAAAATGCCTCTCTGTGCAAAATGGGTTCAAAAACATAAACAGCTGTGGGATCCTGTTTGTCCGTGATTTGAACCGGGGGAACAAATCGTGGCAGGATCAGCCTGATGTTATTTGTATCCCACTGTAACTTTACTGTATAAAGAGCTAACATCTCCAACATGTCAGGAGTAGTTAGTCGTTACAAGAAGTGTTTGTGAACTAAAAATCAAAAATGTGGGATCCTGTTTGTCTGTGATTTGAAGAGCCCAGCACGTGCTCCCGACGAAGGAAAAACAATTCTGCAGGGGAGACCTACCGCGGCACTTGTCGCCTCTGTCAGTGCGCCCCAGGGCAGCTGTGGCTACAATGTAGCTTGTCATCACCAGTGTGTGAATGTGTGTGTGAATGGGTGAATGACTGAATGTAGTGTAAAGCGATTTGGGGTCCTTAGGGACTAGAAAAGCGCTATACAAATGCAGGCCATTTACTTGTGCAGGTGAAGCCAAAGGAAAAATATGCTTCAGCAGATTTTCTAGTCTTTGGCTTAGAATGAAGTTGGTTTGGAAACATATTCAGCGATGCTTCATCTCCTGCTTTGCGTTTGTGTGGGCGCCCCATCCAAAACCTGTCCATTATGCTAGCAGTGTCCAAGCGTTCTTTTTTTTCCTTTTCATACCGCGCCCCCCTGCAATGGCTCTGCACCCCCCTATTCCCCCCCCCCCCCCCCCCCCCCTTAGGGAGTGGGCCCCACATTTTGGGAAGCTCTGGATGAGTCTATGCCAGGTAAAAAGTGTCACATTTAACGTGAAGCTGGATTTAAGTAAAAAGTGTTTAAAGTCTCCTCCGCGAATCGCTACCTTATCATGGTGGAGGGGTTTGTGTGTCGCAGGGGCTATGTTGTCTGGGGGCTTTTGTCCCCTCGTAGGGTTTCCCATGGCAAATTGGTCCTGAGTGAGGGACCAGACAAACAGCGATTCATAAGACCCTTATGAGGAAAACATCCAGGGAACAGTTTGCCCTGCCCTGGAGCCAGGCCCCGGGAGGTTGCCCGAGGGCGAGCGTCTGGTGACTGGGCCTTAGTCCATGGGGCGTGGTTGGGCACAGCCCAAAAAAGGGACATTGGTGCATCTTCCTGCAGACCCACCACCCACAGGAGGCACCGTCAGGGTTGGGTTCAATGTGTGCCGGGCGTCGGCCAGGAGCAAAGGCCCTGGCAGTCCGATCCGCGGCTACCAAGACTGGCAATTGGGACATGGAATGTCTCCTCTCTGGTGGGGAAGAAGCCTGAGCTAGTGTGTGAGATTGAGAGGTACTGGATAGATATAGTCAGGCTCACCTCAATGCATGTCCTGGGCTCTAAAACCAGTCTCCTGGAGAGGGGCTGGACTCTGAACCTGAGCGGTGTTTTGTTATTGGACTTAACGAACACCATGTTCGAACATAAGAGTGTCCATAAGTGCACGTGGCACCAGGACACATCTGGTGGTAACCCCTGAACCAAATGGAGGACACCTGAGGTGAGCCACCAAACTGAAGATGGAGTCCTACCGCGCTTGGTTAGCCTGTGGAACTCTGGAGGCAGCTGATAGGTACCGACAGGCCAAGCAGAATGCGGCGCGGACAGTGGCGGAAGCAAAAACTCGGGTGTGGGAGGAGTTCGGAGAGGCCATGGATAAAGATTTTTGGACTGCCTCGAAGAGATACTGGCAAACTGTCAAGCGACTCAGGAGGGGAAAGCGGTGCTCTACCTGCACTGCGTATAGTGCAGGTGGAGTGCTGCTGACTTCGACTGAGAAAATCGTCAGGCGGTGGAAGGAATACTTCAAGGACCTCCTCAATCCCACTGGCACGTCTTCCGTGGCGGAAGCAGAGTCTGGGGACAAAGGGGATGACCCACCAATCTCTGGGGGCGAGGTCACTGAGGCAGTTAACTTCTTGGTGGCAGAGCCCCTGGGGTGGACGAGGTCCGCCTCGAGTTCCTGAAGGCTCTGGATGTTGTATGGCTGTCTTGGTTGAAACATCTCAATGTTGCGTGGATATCAGTGGCAGTACCCCTTGACTGGCAGACTGGGGTGGTGGTCTCCATCTTTAAAAAAGGGGAACAGAGGGTGTGTTCCAACTCCAGGGGAATCATACTCCTCATCCTCCCTGGGAAAGTCTATGCCAGGGTGCTGGAGAGAAGAATTCATCCATTAGTCGAACCTCAGCTACAGGAGGAACAATGCGGTTTTTGTCCTAGTTGTGGAACACTGGACCAGCTCTTTATCCTCTCGGCGCATGGGAGTTTGCCAAACCAGTCTACATGTGTTTTGTGGACTTGGAGAAGGCATTCGACCGTGTCCCTCGGGGTGTCCTGTGGGGAGTGCTCTGGGAGTATGGGGTGTCTGGCCCTTTGCTACGGGCCATTTGATCCCTATACGACCGTTGCAAGAGCTTGGTCTGCATAGCCAGCAATAAATCTGACTCATTCCTGGTGGGTGATGGGCTCCGCCAGGGCTGCCCTTTGTCACCAATTCTGTTCATAATTTTTATGGACATCATCAGTTGTATCATAATCTAACCCATTGGTTCCCAAACCTTTTTGCTGGGCCCCCCTTTGTTTTACGAGAAAACTGTTCGCGGCCCCCCACCACCTAAACATTATTATTTGTATCCCACTGTAACTTTACTGTATAAAGAGCTAACATGTCAGGAGTAGTAGTCTGGAACCAGAGTCAGGTTCCAGACTCTGGTTAGATCAGAGTCTTCAACCCCAGTGGCAACTCACCTTGAGAAACAGTTGGCGTTGCTCAGCACAGAGTCCAAGGCCACCAGAGTCCCACCACACACATGACTTCCATTCTTCTGCAGGCTCGCCATCCACGGCCATGAGCCGGCTGTCGCCATTGAGGTTCCTCCCAAAATGCCAGAATTCTTCGGAGCTTGTCCACAGAATATCGCTAAAGAGAAAAACCAGAGGCACACACAAAGAAATGTTAAAATCTTTAACTATCATTTCAGGTCAGCAAGTTTAGACTTTATGAAAGCACACAAGTTCATCCTAGGATGGTTTTAGAGGTAAAGAAGCTACTTGGGTGTGAGGTGAAACACTTTTAAAAAAACAAAACATTTTTATTTAATGTTAAAAAATAGCATCTATCACTGGAGAAAATGTGATTTTTGCCTGTGTATACTATCAGTTAAAGTTCTTTGAAAAAATAAATCCCAGTAGTTGGAGACTGACGGTGTTGGAGAGTAATGGAATACATGTACCGGCGTTACATATTTAAAATAAAAAATATGAGTAACTGTATTCCGTTACAGTTATCATTTTAAAAGGTGGTACTAAGAATACAATTACATTGTTGAAATAAATGGATTACACAACGGTCATATGTTAGGCTATGCCCTCTTTATTTTTGGTAATTCCACACCAGTGGAAACCTAAACAAAACACGCATTAAGAGGCTCTAATGCCTGGGTCTCAATCTCACGGCCCATGTCACCCCTACTTTACCTTTACTTTTAAGCATTATTCAAAAACAGCTACGAGCCCGACATGAACCCGACGTATTAGCCAGAGGTCCCTTTACTACGGTTCAGAGCCGTGGACCATATTAGCATACTAGTTTTCTACACGAGATCGCTGCAAAAAGTGCAGCCTTACCTAATGTCCACCATGCTGTTACTCGTTTTATATTAAGATTAAAACATCTAGTTGGTGTTGGTATGGTGAGTAACCTTCAGTAATAGTAATAAATCTCACAGCAATAGTACACTCATGTAGTTGACATGAGTGTACTATTGCTCTCTCTGCTAGGACTAAGCACTTCACTCTGTTTCAGTTTCAGTTGAAACTTCTTACAGAGCAGAAGTGCAACCGTTAGTGAGCCGATGTAGAGACTGCTAGCTACTAGCTTAGCATAAACAGGAGGAAAGAGTTGATTGTGGGCTTTAACAAAGGCTGACATCCCACATCGGAGGGTCAGCAGGACAAAATTCCCAGGCATCTACATCAATGAAGGGACAATGAACCCACACACCTGGCCGAGAAAGGGCTCAGCACAGCAAGCACTTCCTCAGGAGGTTGAAGTAAGTGAGGAACTCTTCCTCATCCTTGCTGCCTTAGGAGGAATCACTTCCTTAGAAGGCTTTTACCGAAGCACTACTCAGAGCATCCTGATGAGCTGCATCGCACCCTGGTATAGTGGCATGACTGACAATAAGACTGCAACGCAGGGTGATGGCTGAGAGGATCGTCTCAGATGCAAAAACACGTTCATCGGGTTCTTAAATCAAAAAGGCCTCTTTGTGTTTTCTGGTTTTTATTTATTACATTGTCTGTGAAAATTTTAATTTCAATCCTTTGTCTTATAATATGACTGTTATATGACAAAGGAAACTTGTAAACTGAAGTAAACACAACTCAGTATCAGCTGGTTGGAATCAAATAAAATAGTGATCATTACATTTCTGATTTTAGGTGTGGTGGTTGTTGTAGGATTTGTGGGTTTTGTATTGGTATCCGTGGTGGTAGCTACAAAGGTGATGGTTTTAGGGTTGGTGCTTAACATACGTTTGCTGGTGGTGGTAGTAGGGGTGGTGGTAGTAGGTGTGGTGGTTGTAGTGGTGGTGGTTGGCACTGGTGGCAGTCCTGTGCAGGAGACACTGAGGTCACTGTTGGTCCCAGTGGACGTGAACGTCATGAAGCCCGGCTGGTTGGAGGAGATCTGGCTGTTGATCCAGGTCTGGTACTGGGATACTCTGGTGTAGACTCCTGGACGATTCGGCCTGGCGCAACCTTTCCCAAAACTGACGACTCCCGCCTGAATCCAGCGACCGCTCTGCTTGATCACCATTGGACCTCCTGAATCTCCCTTTGAGAGCAGAAACATTTACTGTTAGCTGAGGAGAAGAAACTGTAGAAGGTGAAAATGTGCCAAACACAGGTAACAACAATCACCTGACAGGAGTCCTTTCCTCCTGCACTTAACCCGGCACAGATCATGTTGTCAGTGATTGTTCCCACTCCATAGTCACAGTTACACTGCCTGTTTCCCTCCACGGGAACCTCCACCTCCATCAGGTTTTGTGGAGAAGGAAGGGAAACTGAAGGGACCCCCCAAAAAAGTCAGGTCAAAGAAACGTGATTGATTAAATGCACTCAAAGGATGACCAAACTTAAAAACAAAGTGCAGTCATGTGTGCAAACAAAGACAGTGAGACATACACATTATTATCATAATGTGTATGATAATGCAAAAATTATATATATATGATATATATAATTTTTGCATTTGTTAAATTTTAATTCTCTGTGTTTCTGTCTTTTTTTAATGCGTCTCCACAGACCTGGACCTTGCATAAGAATTTTATTGCTCGATTTATTTCTAAAATGGTACATTATACTCATCGTTACTTAAAAAACGATCTGGTGTCTTTATGACCCACCTCCACTTCCTATGTTGCCCCAGCCGGTGACCCAGCTGTTAACACCGCTGTAGAAGGTGCTGTCTGAAGCTGCCAGGCAGACGGGAGAAATGTAGTTGTTGAAAGTCACCGGTGAGGAGAGCTGCAGGAGGCAGACGTCGCTGTCTTTGGTACCAGAGTTGTAGTTTGGATGTTTGATGATCTGTGTTACTGTCCGAGACACTGCATTGGGGTTAGATCCCTGTAGACTCTGAAGGCCCAGATTCACAGTTAGACCGGTTGGAGTACTGCTGAGATCATCAGGAGCGACACAAACAGTGCACAGTTGTTACAATTGTTATAGACGAGAAAACATATATAAAGTTTGACTTCACAGCGTCTTTAAATCTTGTTTAGAGTGCAGCTTCAGCCTCATCACTCACGTTGGAAAGCAGTGAGCAGCAGTCAGCACCCACTGACTGTTAATGAGGGATCCTCCACAGAAGTGGGACCCAGATCTTTGCAGACTGACCTGCCAGGGCCAGCTGCCAACAGGGGCCACCTGTCCTCCTACAATCCTGGTGTTCAGAGACGCCTTACCACAAACTGAAGACCGACATTAAAACACAGAGTGAGCATTACTGTAGGAGCTGTAAACTCTCAGCACTACAAACTGCTGAGTGAGGACACAGTGATCCTGGAGTCTACAGTTCACTCACAAACTAATATTCATATGAAACTAAAGATTTATTACACAAAGAAGCTTTTTCTTACCATCCAGCTGTGACTCAGACTCTGAAACACAGAAACAAACCATTTTAAAACTAAAAATCTCCATTCATCCTTCTGTGATTAGTTCACTGTCGTTAATAATAGTGGGAAAGTCTGGTTTGCTAGAAGCAAGAGTGTTAAAAATTAAGCCATGACTTGCAGTTCCTCCAACATCTACCAGAGTGTGCAATAGTGTTTATATACATAAAAGTGTGTGTGTGTGTGTGTGTGTGTGTGTGTGTGTGTGTGTGTGTGTGTGTGTGTGTCAGACTCAGAGGGAGGAGGGGTTTACTGTGTGACTCAGTAAGATGAAAACACTGACGAGCTGTCGATGATGGTCTCTCACACAGAGAAATACAGGACACACACTGTGTGTTGTACAACTAATCCTTCATGCTTGACCCCAACAGAGTCCTCGTCCTCCATAGTTACTCCATCGTTAATTAGAAAATGGTTTTCTGAGATATTTACTGAGACAGCCTGTTCTGCTTCTGGAGATTCACCTTCCTCATCAATGTTTTGCAATCATAGCGAGATGTGGCGCCATCTCAGGACGCGACCAACTTCCTGCTTATCGTCACGAAGGAAACCTGTCATCACACCTCAGATCATTTGCATTTATCTACAAAAATTCAGAGTTCAAACATCTTTTCAAAACATCTCCTCTGCCTTAATTAATCTCACAAATAGATAATCAGTAACAATCAGCCACAAGAACCTTTACTCCACCGCTTCACTAAAAATGTCAGATTTATGCTAAAAGCTCTACAAACCCGTCAGCTGTGTTTATACAGCATTGCAGCATGTCGTTCCATTGTTGTGCTCTCTCACCTTTAGTCTGTTTGTCCTCTGTCATTCTGCTTTTTTTCCATCTCCTTCCCCACCCTGCCAAACCGCCGAGGTAGGTGACTGCCGCACCCTGACTCTGGCTCTCCTGGAGAGTTTGTCCTCTTAGTTTTTAACTTTACCGGCGTTTTAAAGACCCTACAGTGATCGTTATGGTCTTTACTTTGCAGTTCAAAGTGCCGTAAGGTTACTGTTCTTATTTGCTGTTCTATCAATACACCAAATCAATTTCTAAGTCTGAGTTTAATCTCTTCAACACTTGAATCTGTTAAAAATCTTACTACAATTATTATACCTGATGGAGTGACTTCTTCCATTCATGTGTAATAAAAGCATCTTAAGATGATGTCAAGGTGTGAAACTGACAAATTTACTTCCTTTAGTCCACAGGTGTCGAACTCCAGGCCTCGAGGGCCGGTGTCCCTGCAGGTTTTAGATGTGTCCTTGATCCATCACAGCTGATTTAAATGGATAAATGACCTCCTCAACATGTCCTGAAGTTCTCCAGAGGCCTGGTAATGACCTAATCATGTGATTCAGGTGTGCTGACCCAGGGTGAGATCTAAAACCTGCAGGACACCGGCCCTTGAGGCCTGGAGTTCGACACCCCTGCTTTAGTCTCATGTCTTTGCCTGCAGTTCACATTGAAACTAGTTTATTATTGTTGCATCATCTCCAGAAGCATGGAGTTTAATTTGTGAGAGTATCTTCTAAACCACAAAGTTGAGAATACTTTCAAAGAAAAATCTTTACTCCAATAAGAAAAGACGTCATGTGCCTGCAAGCTCTCTAACTCCATTATCACATCCCAAAACACCCAATATGTACATGTGCTGTAATCAAATCATTCATGTGAATAATAAGCTGTACAGATCAGAATCTCATGTTATGAGAGGTGATTTATATCCTCAGGCTATAAAGGCTGTCGTGTAATTAATATCCTTAGTATTCCTATTGTTTAAACTGTTAGCAGTCGGACGTACCGCCCACGGGACATTGGATGGTTTAGGGGACTAATAGGACTGCTAAGGGGTTAATTATATTGTTTTATGTACTTTAATCGTGAAGGTTTGTAGAGCAAGACCACTTTTGACTCACAAACTAAGTGCTCCCCCAGACTGAAAACAGGAAGTGTAGAGCTGTACAAGTATGTTAATAACTACAGGAAGCCAGACAGAAAAGAAGAACTTTGCCATATAAGCAATGTTTGTATCGAAACTGTGATGTGTAAAGTGCCAAAATAACACCTATATGAGACACAGTTTATTATTCTAATGTTAGAGATCCTGCAACTGTCTGGGCTGTGCAGGGGTCTCTCTCTTCCAGATGATTGAATAAAAAGAAATATGAATGTTTTAACACACTATGAGTCGGTTTTCTCTGTTCTGTCATGGGGACAAAAGAATCAGGGTTAATACTGTACAGCACAAAGGCATCACAGTTCACTAGAACCACAACTAAGGCTGAAAAAATTTATTTCGCAGAACAAACAATAAAACTGAAAAATCTTCGAGTCCAAACACTTGGTTGACATCTACAGGTGACTCTGAGCAAAGTATTTGTGCTGCAATACCAGCTCTGAACTTAATATTACCGCTGATTAATATCACCCATGTCACTGCAATTTTAAAAACTAACTGTGATATGAAACAAAAAAACATTAAAATAAAATAAAGGTTAAAAAGTGATTAAAAGTTCAAATAAAATAAAGCAGCTGTGATACAGACGCTGATTGATGGAGAGCAGTTCAGCCTCTCAGCTGCTTCCAAACCAAACAGATCGTCACATTAATCTGTGTTTAAGCTTTCATCACCAAGATAAAGATGAAGCTAAAGCACAACACCAGTCCTCCTTTTCCTGCCGTGTTACTTCCTGCAGTGTCACTTTAAAGTGAAGCGCTGTGCTCCTGAGTGTTTTCGCCCTCTGAGTCGTACCTGCTGCAGGTGTGTGCAGAGAGCTCTTACCTTGGGTCAGGAGCATCAGCCCAGCAGCCAAACACATCACTTTGTAGAAAGCCATCGCTGTAAGATCCAAACCTCCAGACCTGCTGAAGCTTAAATAACCTTCCTCTGCCCTCCTCCTCTCTGTCTGCATTAAAAACACCTCTCTCTGACACGCCCAACACCTCACTGCAGCTCACCTGATCTCCCTCACAACAAACACGCTGTAACAGGAATTTCAGCTTTCAGGCATCAGTCTTGAACTTGTTTATTAATGATTTACTTTTTTTTTAGATTAATTATCCATTGCACATGAGAAAACCAAAGCCCTGCTACAGACTGAAATATTTTTCCTTTACCTGAGGAGATACCTCAGATATCATTCGTTTGCAGTTTCATCAGAGAAAAATATCCCCTCAGCAGGATTTCATTTACAAAAGTCTGCAGGGAAAGTACGCCCAATTATAGGAAATCTTTCTTTTAAAAATAGGCTGAAGGCGCCTTTAGTCAACATCACAAACGTGGGTATTTTACTACATGACATATAATCTCTTTCATTGGCTGCTTTTCACCTCATTGGAAATTGTCTTCGTGGAAAGTTGGCCACCAAGAACCAATCTTAAAAGGAAACTAGAAGTAAAGGCTGCGGTATGCCAAAATACACAATAAGTGGCAACAGATCTGGTGATGACTCATCACTCAATCATGTATGTAGAGAGGTCAGGAGAAAGGTACAACAGTGCTCCTCACATACAAGGTCTTAAATAATCAGGCCCATCTTATCTTAATGACCTTGTAGTACCATATCACCCTATTAGAGCACTTCGCTCTCACACTGCAGGTCTACTTGTTGTTCCTAGAGTATTTAAAAGTAGAATGGGAGGCAGAGCGTTCAGTTTTCAAACTGGCTGGTGTCATGGCAGAGTGTATGTCAACCAGATGTGGGCCAGGTCTGGCAATGATGGCACTGTTTATGTTCCTATTTAGTTAGAAGACCCAAATGCCATGTTGCAATACTATACTGCTATGGTAGCCAACGTTTCAAATGCAGGTTTGCAGGTTTGTGAGTGTACACTTTATCCAAAACCTAGTGAGGGTTTACTCATCTTTGCCATTGGGTGGCTGTAGCTCAGGAGGTAGACCAGCTCACCAACTGGTCAGAAGGTTAGTGGTTCGATCCCTGGCTCTTTCAGTGTGAATGTGTATGAATGTAGTTAGGAAGCACTCAGTGTGATTGGGTGAATGTGGCATGTTGTATAGAGCACATTGAGTAATCCGGGAGACTAGAAAAGAAAGAAAACTAGAAACCTATATAAGAGTCAGTCCATTCAATGTCTGAACAGAGTTTTGTCATGTCACTTTTGCATGTTCCAGCACATGTTTTTATTACATCACTTGATTAAGGTTCACATTTGACTGACATCTGGGGCCAGAGCTGAAACTGTTCTGGGCCAGCAGTGTGTCTGCAACTGCCCCGTAGCTGCACACAACTTACACATGGTCCACATACCGCAAAGAATGACGGCCCTTTGGTGGCCCAGACCAGGTTTGCCAGAGGTAGTCCACATATGGGCCAGCACAGGACCACCAGTGTGTCTGCAACTGGGCTTGTGCCGTCAGTCTTTGCGGTATGTGGGCCATGTGTAAGCACATTGTGTGGGCCAGATCCGGGCCATGCCAATTTTAATATATAGGCTTTCCTTTTTGCTAAACCATATAGTTAGAGCTGGTGACCCTGAATCCTCCCTTAGTTATGCTGCAATAGGTGTAGGGGATTCCCATGATGCACTGTGTTTATACACTTCTGTGCATTGAAACATTACTTATTATTAATATCTGGCTCTTCTACAGCATGTCTTTATCCTGTCTTTCAAATGAAATACTATCGGTCATAGATCGGCCTCTCCGGAGTCCACACCTCAAATTAGCTGAAGCTAGGGCTGCTCGATTATGGCAAAAATGATAATCACGATTATTTTCACTGAAATTGAGATCTCGATTATTTGACGATATTTATTTAACCCTTTAAGACCTACCATAGAACCAAGTCCGCCAGAGCTTATATTATTTTTTTACATGTTGTAGTGCCGTTTGTGGGAACATTTTAAGTTGATATACATCAATACAACTGTTATAGCCCATATTTTAATAATATGTATGCATTAAGTCCATAGTAA